ACCAGGAACCTTACTACAGTTTCCATGGCGACATTCTGCAGTGTGGGTATTTCATCATCAGTTTTATGTCTTATACTGAATGTGTTGTTAGATGATGTCTTTGGTTAACACACAAGGTTTGGTATGTCAAATGTTCAGCATTTAAGATCCTGTATCAAGGGGCCTGCAGAGATGGCACAGCTATTAAAAGCCTGTACAGCTCTTGCAGATGACTGGAGTTTGGTTTCCAGCACCTAGTTCTGGCCGCTCCCTGTCACCTGTAACTGTAGCCCAGTGGATCCAATGCCTTCTTCTTGCCTCTCAGGTGCTGCAGGCACCATATACATCTCTCCTGCTCCCCTGCTTAGTTTAAAATCAATGAATCTTGGAGAAACATTGTGTAGTAATATTTGTGCTAAATTTCAAGTTCTTTCTTCACTTCATGAGGGGAGTTTCATGTCATATGCAATAATTTCAAAGAGCATGGATTTGGTATTGTTACCTCACCCAGTACAACTCAACATCTTGGGCACCTATCACTCCATCTAGTCACAGAGAAGTTTATCACCATGAGAAACTTCCACCCCTTTAGCATCACTACACTGCTCTCCCCTGGCCTCAGGCTGCCACTGGTCTCTTTCCTGTGTTAATGGATGGACCTATTCTGGACAGTTCATGGAAATAGAAACAAATGCTATGTCTTTGTGGGTGCTTTGTTTTTCAAAAAATATAATTTATTCAAGTGTGTGTGTGTGTGTGTGTGTGTGTGCGCGCACGCGCAGAGGTCAGAGATTGACACTGGGTGTCTTCCTTGATCGCTCTGATGTTTTTCATTAATAAATTTTGTTCTTTGACAATTTCATACATGTCTCTGGTGTATTCTGGTTACTTGCACAACTGCTAACTCTTATGTCCCTTCAAGCCCTGGTGGTACCTACTCCTTCCTTAAAATCGCTTTCTTGTAAGCATTGGTTTTCGGTTTGTTTAGTGTACCATAGAGTTTAACCAGAGCTACCTGTGTGACCCTGAGTTTGGAACTAACCATCAGAACCTAGTGGGCTTACAAGTAGGACAGCCCTGGATACTATCCTTCCCTCTCTCCTGGACTCTGTTAGTTTCTAGTAGCTCAGCTGTAGGCGGTGGGGTCCTATGAGCTCCTCCTCCCTCCACTAGGCAAAGGCACTGAGTTCATAATTGTCACAACTGTGACATTCTTAGTCTTCCTATCTCAACCTCACTAGTACAGCCACTTCTGTGTGACCCTCTTCCTGGAGAGATGTAGAATAAATGTCTACCCACCCCAGAGAGGGAACTGGTCGCAGACCAGAGTAACAACCCCACCCAAGTCTGACGGGTGGACCAACATGTTTACTGGAGGATGAGTATGGGTGAGCATGGGTGACTCATGAAAACTGCTCTACATGACTTGCAGGCAGGGACTCTCCTTTTCTCAAAATTCTTTACTCAAAATTTACTCAAAATTCTTTATAAAGTATAAAATACTTTATAAAGAAGGAGCCTTGTGAATCTACTAAGTTTCAGGTACTTCTCAAGACTTTTGAATTGTTTATTTCTTTATTGTTAATGAGCCTCCTCTCAGAACTTCCTTAATCATTAAATCATTTCTCTAGGATAGGTTGTCTTAACCAAGGGGAAATTATGTGTGTGTGTGTGTGTATGGAAGCTCAAGATGGATGTTGGAAATCATCCTCCAATTGTTCTTCCACCTTATTTATTGAGGCGGGGGTCTCTCTGTAAAACCAAGAGTTCACCGATATGATGAGATATGACAACACTCCTTAGCTCACTTACTCTGGAGATTCTCCTGCCTTTACTTTTGGAGGCTGGATTTATAGAAAGGCTGCCATGCCCACCTGGGAATTATACCTGGTTGGCAAGTGACTTAATTACCCCAGCCACTGTTTTAGATTTTGCAATTTCTTCTTAGATTTTGGATTAAAGGTGTGAGTCTAATCTAAACACAAAGTTCAATCACGCTGCATACACATCTGATAGACATTATCTGGAAGCCATTTTATACCTGATGGTTTTTTTTTTTTTGTTTAGAGAAAAGTTCATACTTGTAGCCCAGGCTGGCCTCGTATTTGCAATCTTCCTGCTTCAGACTCCTAAATACAGGCAGTGTAGGCATGTGACGTCATGCTCAATCTACAGTATCCTCAGTGCTTTTGAGTTCTTGCTGTGGACTGTCACATACAGTCAGGTGTGGAATCTCCGTCTGTGGTATCAGGTAGGTTATGTAAGGTTTGGATACGGGAGAATTTTGGATTTGAGCTGCAGTCTCATTCCATTCTAAGGTTTTGAGTTATACTGGGTTATTGAATCTCCTGAGATCCTCTTCACTCTGACAATTTCTGAGACTTTCCTTGTTGATAGCGCCACTGATTAAGCCTTAATAACAGGACCACATGCAAAATTACAGAACTGGGTGCATGCTGATAACGTCAGCACAACTTTGATTTGGTATCAGGATGTTCTAAGTAGGTCGAGGTGAGAAACACCCTGGTTAGCAAATGTGTTCAAGGACCAGAGCCAGGCTTGCATGCACAAGGATTGAAACTAGGGAGCCACTTTTGGCTTTGCCACCTGGGGAAAGTTACCAAACTTCTCTGAGTCTCTGTCTCCACGTGTGCCAACAGAGTTGTGAAAATGACATATAAAGAAGGAGAGATAGAAACAGATCACAGGCAGAGAGCAAAGCAGAGGGAATGGGGAGGAGTCAGAAACGGCTTACAAGTGTGGCCTGCTGGTCCTACCTACATCTAGGGCAGGTATTCATTTAACCTAAATCATACCTGAGCATCACTTGCAGGATTATTTAAGTAAACCAATGTCTGGGTCCCATTCAAGGGGGTGTGATTCGATTGTTCTGAAGTTTAAACAAGAGTCAGACATTTTGTGAGATACATGTTGGCAGGCAATGTCTTCTGAACAGAGCAAGACTTGAACTCATGAGCAGCTACTCTGGTTGTCTGCACAAGATCTAGCCAATGAGAAGTGTAGTACAGAGCCAGGAGCTCACAAGCCCCAACCGACAGTTGAGGAGTTGTTGATAGATGGTGGTTGCTTGGGGGAGGGAAAGTCAGTTTTCTTGAGCAGTGTGGTCTGGCCATGCTCCAGTGAATGGCCACACACACACATCCATATGGAAACAGAACTAGTGGGACTCAATGGGCCAAAAATAAGGATATCAAGCAGTAGAGGGGTGTGGTGGTGAAGGTCTGGGAAGAGTTGGAAGGAGGATATGGTCAAAATAAATTATGTACAGATATGAGATTCTCAAAGAATAAATAAAAAGTATTTTAAAATGGTGATTTTAAAGTTCTATCTATTTTTCTGTAAATTTGACAGTTTCATTCTTTACAGGTGAGTACAATTCCATTGTGTGCCTTAATTGAAGTGTTTTTATCTGTTCAGGGGTTGATGGACAGATCCCACACTGTGGTGAGTAGCGTAGCCACATACATGATGTGTGGATCTCTGGATTAGAATCCTCTATGTCTACTCTCAAGCGCGATCTAGTTGTGTCGTATGATATTTCTATTTTCAGCTCTTTAGGAATCTCTATAGGAAAGCTTACAGAAGCGGCACCATTTTACACTTTCACTAACAGAGTATAAAGGTTCCCTTACTCCTTATTCTCGCCAGAATCTCTTTCTGGTTTTATTGGTGATAGCCACACTGACTCGGGAGAGATGGAATCCCAGTGCAGTTTTGTTTTGGCATCAGAATTTTAAAAAGTTTTTCTGGTGTTTGGAGGTTACAGCTAAGATATTGAGAACCACCTTGTTTAACAAGTGTGTTCAATGATTAGGGCCAGGGCTGTGTGTACAAAGATTGGAGTTGGGGGACAGTTCCCTGGCTGTCCAGTTTTCTGCGTACTTGTCACTTTGTCCGCAGACTGGGGTGGTAATGTCTATTTTGTAGGGCTATGCAAATGGAATATAGTTAAAGGAATCTGTCTGATTCACGAGGTTGCCACCAATAATTGCCCAAAATAACAATAAAGAGCACAGCTATGACAACAATAATAATAGTAATAATAATTATTAATAATAATAGTGTGTGTGCATGTGGGTGTTGGCGAGCTTGCCATAGCACATGTGTGGAGGTCAGGGGACAACTTCTGATGCTGTTTCTCTCCTCCACCTTTAGGTAAATCCCAAAGATGGAACTCAAGTCACCAGCCTAGTACAACAAGCGGTAGGCCATCTCGCTGGGGTCCACCTTATTGACTTTTATTCTCTCGCTGGGCTCTGTGCACAATTAAAAAGAACCTCAGTTCTCAGAAGAACCAATATGCTGGAAGCAACCAAATCAGTGTCGTCTGAGAGGATAATGTAGCTCCACATTGTCCCGTGTACTGTGCTAATAGCAAGAGATAATATTAATTACAATAGTAACAGCAATTATGAAAGGTTCCGGTTTGCACTGAGGTTCACACAGCAGAGAGCGTTTCCAGGCTCTCGCGCTTTGCTTTGCTCAGCTGTAATTTTCTCTCAGGTCAGGCTCAGAGAGGGAGAGGGGCTGGCCCAAAGGGACAGGGCAGTGAAATGGCCTAAGCCAGAAGGGTGCACCGGAGGGAGAAGCTGGCCAGCGAACCCACGTGCTGGCGGTGGTCACCCGACGCTGGCGTTCTCCCCTCCCCCTGCCTCAGACCCACGCTGAGAATGTGGGTTCCCGCCTAGCGGTAACAACACCTGGTACCCTGTGCATCCCAAGGGGACCTACTGGCCTCCGAGGACTCGGGAGGGGCAGGGGGCGGGCTCGGAGGCGCGGCTCGGCGCAGGGGCGGAGGCTGTGCGCGAGAGGCCGGCCACCCCGCCCGCCCTGCGTCCCCCAGCTCCAGTGCGGCTGCGGCAGGGGGACATCCCTGAGGGGGTACCGCCCCCCGCCCCAGCCCCTCGCCCCTCCGCTCCCACGTGAGCGTCAGACTAGCCCGCATCCCTCCGGTTGCACAGCGAGTACCGGCTTCGTGCCGGTGCCTTGGTAGTCCTGTCCCCAACGCAGATTCAGCGCGGGTCACTGGCGGGTCCCAGCGGACCCGGCCGGCGCTTCCAAGGGTTCTGGCTTCTGCATCCCGGCGTAGCGACGAGGTGCGGGCAAGGCGGCCCCGCTGACCCGAAGCTGGTGAGTGGGGCATTTGCTTCTGCTTGGGGCTGGTTCTGGGTCCGAGGCAGGTGGGGTTCCCCTGTGCACAGGTCTCCTCTTACTACTACCTTTCTTTAGCTCTCCCCCGTCCCTTTGCAGGTGCTGAGCCCGCCTCTGCCCCCGGTCACCCTGGTGAGTTTCCTGTCACTAGATTCCTGGGTCTCCTTCCCATCTCCCATACCCCCATTTAGTAACATCAACTCTTAGTCCTGTTTTTAACATTGAATATGACGCCTCTTCTATTTTCTTGGGCTGAAGTCCCTCTTCCCTGCCACAGGTTCATAACACAACCCCAGCCATATCTGCTGTGGTTAAAACTGGCCCCATTCCACAGACACTGAGTATGAAGGTTGTATGTGTGTGATTGAGTTTTTGGTGGAATTGCTTTTCTAAAGAGGTGTGTGTAGCTAAGTGTTTGACTTTTGAGAGTTTTGTGCTCTCAAGTGGTGTGCTTGTGTGCCTAAGAATTGTGTGGATGTCACTATCCATGTAGTTTCATTTGCATGGGGTACTTGTGCAGGAGACGCTAAATGTGTGGCTTGTGTTTCATGGTGTGCATGATAGTGGCCAGTGTGTGTGTGTGTGTGTGTGTGTGTGTGTGTGTGTGTGTCTGTGTAGACTTTGTATGGCTGATGCTGACCGCATGGGTTTGCATTTCTGAAGCTGTGTGAGTGGTTATGTGTCTGCTGGTGTGCATGAACGTAGCAGATGTTTGTGTGGAATTGTGAAGGAATTGTGTGTCTGGTGTTACAATATGGATTTGCATTTCTGAAGGGTGTGTGTGGTTGTTTGTCTGAAGAGTCTTTGAGGGACTGTGTGTCCATAAAGGATTATGTAGGTGTTAATGGAACACAAGATGTGAGGCTGTATTTAAGTATGTATGAGTGTGATGAACTAATTTCTATCCTGCCTTTCTCTCCTGTCAATCACTCCTCCCCTAGCACAGCACTGATATAAGATTTAGCCCACCATTGTTTGTGTAAGAGGAGACCTTGGAGATGGCTTAGTTATAAGTCTGAGAATGGAGGGAGGAATGAAAAAACTCACAACTTCAGGGCTAGAAAGCAGGCTCAGTGGTAAAGAGCACTTTTTGCTCTTGCAGAGGTTCCTGTTTTGATTGCCAGTTCCAACATCCTCTTCTGGTCTCCACAAGCACCAGGCATGTTAGATACAGGTCAAACACTCACATACATAAGATAAAAATAAACTCATCTTTATACACACACACACACACACACACACACACACCTGCACAGCTTCAGGCTACATCAACAAAGAAAAAGAAAACATGAAAAATATAAACAAACAAACCAATCTTTTTTTGCATATTACTTTGCTAAGTCTGAAGTTACCCCACAAGGCCGCATCACATCACATTGTGATTTGGTTAAGAAGTACCAACAACTCTCTCTCTTTCTCTCCTTCCCCCTTCCTCTCCTCCCTCTCTGTCCATTAGAAGATAAGAACTCCCTGTGTAGCTCAGGCTAGCCTCAAACTTGCCGTTCTGCTGCTGTTTCCAAGTGTTGAGACTACAGCCATGCATCACCACGCCAGGCTCACAAAAATCTGATTTTGAATGAACCTTCTATTTCAGAACAATGACTGTTTTGTGGAGTTGGTGCCATTGCACATCCATAGCTAATGTACGGTCAGTGTAAGAAATGTACAGTTCTTCTCCCTCGGGGCTTATTCTAACACACCATGGCCCCTTTAGATCCTTTGAGGTCTTTCCTCCCATTGTTTTCTGGTCATACTTCAGGTGACTCTTAGCTTTGGGTATCATCTGTATAGTGAGACCAGCCCTTCTACTTTCAAAGACCTCCAGGTCTTGAAAGTTTGACACTTGCTTGAGGTCTAGTGGTCAGAAGGACCTTCTTGTCTTCCCTTTATCTCCAAGTGGTGGTTGTCATGGCTCATTACACTTGAGAGTTGGGGGCAAAGGGGTAAGACCCATCCTTTAACCCTTTACCTTGCAGGTGTTGGAGAGCCTAGAAAAGCCATTCCCAGAATAGGTAGCTTAAGAGAACCAAAAGAAACCAGAGCCACTCCCTGGATGAGATGTACCCAACAGCTCCAGGGGCCCAAGAGAGCCAGGAAGTCCCAGGGGTACTTTCAAGTATCACAAAATGTTGTTTTAAAACATTTACTACATTTTAATAAGCATATGAAGAATTTGTTCTCATTATAGCATTCCCCACAAATGATTGGTGATGTTAATTTTATAAGCTAAGCACACAAAGTCAAATGCCGTGCTATCTCATTCCCATGCAAGCTACAAATCTTGACCTTGAACAAACAGGCAGAAGAATAGTGATTATGAGAGGGGAGACAGAGAAGGGGAGGGTGATGATATTGTTCAACAGTTTATTCTTTTATAAAGGATTAGAAAACAGGAGTTTGAATGCTGCTGGCCAATGGGAATGAAACTGCTAAGGAACTTGATCTGGCATCATGTTTATGTTCTGAAAGGTTTCACTGTGCCCCGTGAGTGGGAGCAGTTATCACATGTCCACTGAGATAAAAAGGAAGAATCAACATAGTGGCAAATCACAGCTGTGTGCGTTTACAGTGATCGAGTCGGGCGTGGTGAGGGTGTTGAAGACAGCCTTGCATTTGAGCCCAAGTCTGTGTCTTTTGGACTTCTGCTTATTTGTTGAATTGTTTTTTAACGGTTAATTACCACCTGTTGGCTTTTCGCCCCCTCCACTGCTGGGATGGAACTTGGGGCCTCATGTGCAATTGATGAACGCTCCGTTTCTGAGCTGTGTCCTCAGTACTCCAGCATTCATATATGATTTTACTAGGCTATAGTGAGCCTTTAAGAATTATTACATTTATTCAGTGTGTGTGTGTGCGCGCATGCACCCTCGAGCATGCACAAGGCAGTCAGAGGACAACTTGCGGGACTTAGTTCTCTCCTTTCTTCCTGTGGGTCCAAGACTGAATTGAGGCCATCCAGCTTGGCAACAATCCTCTTTACCCAACAAGCCGTCTTGTCCTCTCTGCCCCCACTTTTGTAAAGTCATAGCCACTTTGGTAAATAGTTTGTTTTCTGATCTCTATTTCAGCAACTCACCGTTGCCACTGTAGCACGAAAGTACCTGCAGAAACACACAATGAATGAATGTAGCTGTGTGCCAATACCATGATTAAAAAATGCTAACAACACAGATATTAAAGCAGATTTGACTCACAGACTATCACATGTCAACTCCCACACTAGCTAGTTGTTTTTAGGTTTTGTCAGGGAATTTGTTCCAGGCACACCCTCCATCCTGGATAGACTCCAAAAACCTTTGTATCCGAAAGTCTTCTACATAAAATGGCATCATATCTGCACAGAGCCCTTTCCTGTCTTCTTTCATATTTAGCTCATCTTTACATTACTTTTAACACCTAACACACTGGGTAAAGGTATTTGCCACCAATCCCAAGTCCCGAGTTCAGTCCCTAAAACTTACATTTTGGAGGAGAGATGGACTCCTAAAAGTTGTCCTCTGACCACACACAGACACACGCACACAGACACACACAATGGTAGAGAGTAATAACTCCACCTAGCACAACTTCAATACTGTGCACATATTAGTTTAGGGAATAAGAGGAAAAGTCTGTTCATGCCCAGAACAGATGCAAATTGAACAACTTTATCAATTGATTGATTGATTTTTGGTGCTGGGAATTAAATCCAAGTCTTTGCATATGCTAAGCTCATACTACCATTGATTTTAAAAAAGATTTATTTTGTGGCTGGAGAGATGGCCCAACCTTTAAGAATGCCATTTGCTCTTATAGAGAACCCAGATTCAGCTCCCAGCACCCACAGGACAGCCCACAATTCCCTGTAGCTCTTGTTCCAGGAGATCCAATGCCCCTTTTTGGACTCCACGGTCACTGCACACATGGTGGACATATACACATGGATTCAAACACTCATACACATAAAATATAAATTATTTTTATATTTTTAATTATGTGTATTCATATGTGGGTATGTGCATATGAGTTCAGGTGATGTCAGAGACAGAAGAAAGGGTCGGATCCTCTGGCTGTGGGCCACCTGACGCGTGAGTCCTTTCAAAGAGCGGCACGCACTGTTGACCTCTGAACCATCTCTCAGCCTTACCACTGAGTTTTTAAAAGTATTCTTTGGTGATTTTATATATGAATACATGTATATTTAGATAATATAGACGTCTCCTTCCTTTTCCTCTTCAACTCTTCCTGAACCCCCTCCCATTCATTCTTCTACTAACTTCATGTTGCTGCCTCCTCCTCTTTATCTTCCTCTTCTAAAAAAAAATCCATTGAGTCCATTTAATGCTGCCCTGATGCCCATGAAAACAAAGCACCATCCAATGGAGCATGAGCAACCTATCACGGGCCACACCGCTGAGAAAACTGCCCCTTCTTCGTTCAGAATCTATCAGCTGTCAATAGCTCTTGCAGCTAGACGTGAGCTGATGATTGACTTTTTGAGATGGGGTCTTTCTACCCAACCAGGGCTGGCCTTGAACTCCTGCTTCTCCCGTCTCAGCCTCCTGAGTGCCAAGATGGCTTTTCTTCCAGTGTTGGTCTTATCTGAGGAGGCTGATTTGTGCTCTGCAAAACCGCTGTCTGGACTGTACAGCATGGCTTGTAAGGCAGCGAAAAGAAAAGACAAAGTGTCTAGGCTCCTGACTGCTTTGGACTCAGCTGATGCTCTTAGGACCCATGGTGATTTTGAGTTATCACTTGGTGACTGGGCACAGGATGTCCCAGAGGAGAGGGAGAGACTGCTTATTTTCTGTGCAGCTTTCAGTCCTGCATCTGTAGTGCTCAGAACAGGGTGAGAAGCAACACTGTGGCTTCAGGGGACCAGTCCATTTGGAGCAAGATCCTGACTGGGTGTGGCTTCCCACTGAGAAGCAAGGCCTTGGCTTGCAGCATACAGGGCATGGGAAGCTTAGTCAGGTGACCTGTTTTTTGGAAGCAGAGGGAGAACTCAGACAGATAGGGAGGGCAGCCATCTTAGAAAGACAACCACTTAGGTAGTGGCAGCAAAACAATGACGAAGCAGTTCAAGGATGCACGTGGTGGTGCATGCCTGCAACCCCAGCTCCTTGGGAAGCTGAGGGGGTCAGTACTGGGAACTGAACCCAGGGCCTTGAACATGGCAGGCAAGTACCCTACCACTGAACTATATGGCCCTCTTTAAAAAGGAACTTTCATTTTTGATTGTGTGTGTGTGTTTGCACGTGCATGTGTGTGTCTGTGTCTGTACATGAGAGTGCAGGTGTCAGTGAGGCTAGGAGGGCACTTAGCAGTTCTGAGCTACCTGATGTGGCTGCTGGGGACGAACTCTGGTCCTCTGCAGGAGCAATATGTACTCTTAATCAATGAGCCATCTTCCAGCCCCTGCCCACTAACTCTCTTTTTAAGTTTTTTTTTTTTTTTTATTTTGAGACAGGTGCTGGCCTTGAACTTGTAAACTCTCTGTCCCCCACCCCACCCTATCCCACCCCTGAGCTGCTGGTTTTACAGGACTGCCAAAGACTGGGTCAAAAGTCACCATTCCTAGGCTGTTTTGTAACTTCCAAGTGTTTGGCAGTTAAACAGATTGGTAGGTTTTATATTTATGTGCATTTTTTTTAATTTATGGAAAATACAACATCCCATTTTAGATACCTTTAAAAAAGTAAGTCAGTAAGGATAAATAGATATGGGCAAATGTAAAAGAGGGATACAAAGTCTGAGATTTCACTCCAAAAGAAGTTCATAAACATCAAGCTGGGACTAGAAATGTCATCATTTCCTCCCTGAGCGATCCCTCCCTTACTTTATTGCTCCCTTGGTCATGAACACAAAGTAAGCCATTTTAGTTGGGTCCCCCCATTTACCAGGCGCTTGCTGAATTTGTCCCTGTGAAAAGTCGACTATGGGCGTCTTCAGACCGGAGGCTCAACTATTGTGGCTAGGAGGACTAGCCTATAGGGGCCCTTTCATTAGCTCTTCATGCAATCAGCATTCAGCAAAGGCATGGTCCTTTGGTTTGACAGCTGCGGTACTTTCCAATTCCTTGAGATGATCTCAGTGAAGGAGGAGGCTGGAGGCAGAAAACATTAAAGGTGTGCAGTATTTTAATTTTTTTTTTTGTGCGTGTGTGTGTTTTCTTATTCCCTGTCTCTAACCACCCACTCTGGTGTGTTTGGGTCTAAAGACCTTAACCTTTTGCAGCTAGGATAAAAACTGAATCCGATCCAGGCAGGTTCTCAGGTGTCCCTGCAAGGCAGCACACTGGCAGATGAAAATCGCCCCTCCCCTGACTTCTGAGCTGCAGTGCCCGCCCCTCGACCTTACCCCCTCCTTTCTGGGACTCCTCCCTCACCAGACATGGTCTCTTCTGTCCTGGCAGAGACACGATGAGCAGCCACGGCAACAGTCTGTTCCTGAGGGAGAGCGGCCAGCGCCTGGGTGGCGTGGGCTGTCTGCAGAGCTTCCAGGACAGTCTGCAGCAGAGAGCTCTGCGCACGCGCCTGCGTCTGCAGACCATGACCAGAGAGCATGTGCGGCGCTTCCTGCGCAGGAATGCCTTCATCTTGCTCACAGTTAGCGCTGTGATCATTGGTGAGCTCTGCTTCAGGGAGGCGGGACTTCTATTAACATCACCCCCCCCCCACCTCCTCCCCGCCTTGCATTCATCTAACAAGTCACCAGCACCTCAGAGAACATAGGTAGAGAGGGTACTCACACAGGCAAACACAGCTGTATAAACACGATGTGATGTCACATGTGTGAATATGTACACACACAAGTACACTGTGCAGACATGCACTGTACAACTACACACAGAGAATGACGCATATATTTTACATATGCACAGAATTTAGAGGAGCAATCACATAAACTGTGCAAACGTTCATTAATATCCATCATACTGTTGGGATATTGGTTCCGTCAAATACTACCTACCCCATTTTGTTTAAGGAACTTGAATGTCTGTTGATTTAGATATGCAGGGATTTGATTATTTACAAGCTTTTGTTGTCTGTGGATGCTTAAATTTCTTAAATAAAATGGTTCTAGTGTTTGTATAGGATCGGTGGCTGTCTTGCTCTTTTGGTTACTTTTAACACCTAAAGCAATGTAACCGCTAGGTAAACAGTTGTTATACTATATTATCTAGGAAATATTAATAAGAGAAAAAAAATCTCCACATGTTCAACAGATACAACTGTTGAATTATGTGCATATTGTATAAAACAATGGATTTCATCATGACATCTATATATTCAATGCGCTTTGGTCGTATTCTTTTTCTTCACCCCGTCTTTCTTAGTCAGCCCCTGCTGGTCCCGTTCCCCTCACCTAGTAGTTCCCCTACTGCTTTCATTAGATACAATTTTTCCCCTAAGAATCTCCATGTGTGCTTGATTAACTTGACAGTGTGGCATCCAAGGATACCAGGGCCAGCTGTGTTAGACTTTGTGAACACTTTCTCACACTCATATATGCATTTACATCTACATGCTTAGAAGCGTAATTGCATATGCACTTCCATATTTGAAAGTGATAACGTAGACACAAGAGTCACACTTATAGACACGCCCAAGAAATGCATGTGCATATCTTTGTATATGAGCCCACATATGCAGTCACATGTTTATGCTCACAACTGGATGTACACTCTCCATATATATGCACATGAATGTACACACATACCTAAAAGCACACAAATACATATAATACACACATATATCTGTGTGCACACAATGGTACACACATACATACCCATTTATACAAATGCACATTATGTACATATATACTGATGCTCACACAAATGTACACACATACTCACATAAACACTGACATGCATACATACCCATGAACATACTCATATACACACAGATCCATGCATATGCAAACGCACACTTATAGCTAACACAATGTACTCATGCACATACCCATACATATACCTAGCCATGCATATACTTTTTTACACAAGCCCACATATGTGTAAAGTACACACAAATACCCACATCTATATCCACACAAACACACACACATACTCATGCACAAATGTACCCATGCACACACAAATCCACAGAATAACCAAGCGTAGAAATACACACCCTTATAAAATGTTCACTGCTCACCCTAGTGCACTCTCTTTGGGATAGATGGGCCCTGCATGGGGTTGAGATCCATAGTCCATTCGATGAACCCTTCTTTTGTTGCTCTAGGGGTCAGCCTGGCATTTGCTTTGCGCCCATATCAGCTCTCCTACCGCCAGATCAAGTACTTCTCTTTTCCTGGTGAGCTGCTCATGAGGATGCTGCAGATGCTGGTACTCCCCCTCATCGTCTCCAGCCTTGTCACAGGTGAGAGCCCAAGCCATTGTGCATCTTCGGGATCCACTCGGAGTCCAAACTTGAGGAAAGAGCCAGGGCTACCCTAACTATGGGAGCCCTTTCCCAACTCACCAACTCAAGCTATGCCCAGGTCTTGCTTAATTTCTGCTGCCACATGATCCATGTAGCCCGATAACTTTCTTGTGCTTTTGCTTGAAGGTAAAATACCATCCAGCGTGAGTTCAGAGTTATCCAGAGGGGAGAAAGAGACCATGTAGGGGCAGAGGAGGTGGATGGGACGTGGGGTAGATGACTAGGAGATGGGATATGGGTGAACATGTAGGAGGTGAGTGGGATGGAGGTGTCAGGACAGAGGATGGAGGAAGGGAAGGAGCTGTGGATGCATTGTGTAGCACTTTTCTTATAGATGGTAAATTTTTTTGGCTTCAAGGGTCATCTGATCTTCATTGCAATGGTTTGATTCTGATGTCGGAGTGGAAGAGCACCTATAGGCAATATGTCAACAAATGGGCATGGCTGTTGCCCTAGTTTCATTTATGTTGTTGTAATAAAACACTTGACAAAAGAACTTAGGGGAGAAAGGGTTTATTTTAACTCTCAGTTCCAGGTTGTATTTCACCATTCAGGGAAGTCAACATAGGAACTTGAAGCAGCTAATCATAACCCACCCACAACCAAGAGCAGAGAGAAAATAAATGGACACATGCTTATTTGTGTCATGCTCCACTCTACATGTATGCGGTCCAGAATCCCTTGCTTAGGGAATGGTGCTGCACACATGTGTGGGCCTTCCTCCTTCAGTCAGTATAATCTGTGCAACCCCCACAGACACACCCATAGGTCCACCTGATCTAGACAATCCCCCATTATCTCTTCCTAGTAGTTTTAGATTGTGTCGAGTTAACAATTGAAACTACTCATTAGAGTTGTGTTTCAATAAAACTTTATTTAGTGCATCAGATTTAGCCCATAGGTGATGTTTAGCAATCCTTGGGTTTATGGACAGAAATAATGATCAAGGCTTAAAACACTGCTTTCTTAGGTTGGGCTTCTAAGAAGTCAAGCCTAACATATTAATCTGGTCACAAGAGACTCATGGAGGGAAACACCCATGAGGAAGTGAGGGAAGCAGGGTGGGGAAAGAAGCTAAGCAAAGATGTGTGTTCAGAAGAAGGTTGCTCTCTTAGTGTGATCTCATTGGACGGGATCTCTGAAGTGTGAGCAACATGATGGTGTTGTTCCTCACCCCTAACTCTGTCCTCATCTGAATCCCTGCCCCAGCCAATTATTGACTGTAGCTCACTCTGGGGCCTTTCTGGAAGAGGAAGCTCCCATTCTGCTGGGGATCATTCTTAGTGGAAGGGGAAAGTGAAGGCTGTTAGCATCTCAAACTCATAGCAGCTGAATGGTTGCATTGGCCTAGAAGGGAACATGTAGGTACAGCATGAACGGTATCCAGGCAGAGTGCAGAAAGAAGTGGGTTTGAGGGAGGTGAGAATTGGGGTGGACCATGAGATGAAGGCTTCGATGTTTGTGATATTCATGGTGCAGAGATAAGGGGGAGGGCTAGGTGGGAGTTAAGAGGTTGACTTGGAGTAAAGGGAAGGTACTGTGATTGGTAGAGTTATTTGTTCGTGTGTGTGTGTGTTGTGTGTGTGTGTAGCCCCCAACATGTGTATGGTGGTGAGTGAATTGGTTTTGATTCAGGTTTACCCAGTTACTCATTTCTTGAGCAATATTTTTGTTTTAAAAATTGTTTTTAGCTTGAGAATCAAAATCTGAATCATCCCTTGGTTGAACTCCTAGGGGACTGGTTCAGAAATATCCATAGAAACCAATACCTGAGAATGCTGAAGCCCTTTTTGCAAAATGGTGTAGTGTTTGCAGATGACCTATGCCTCCTCTCTTGTGTACTTCAGATCATCTCTAAATGACGGGTATACCATATAAACTGTACAACTTTATTTCATAGCAAAACAAAACTTCTTATTTACTTTTATGTATTTATTTTGGTATTATTATTTAATCATGTGCCTATGTGGGTATATGCACATGAGTGCAGGTCACCATAAAGGCCAAAAGGTACCTGGAGCTGGAGTTACAAATAGTTGTGAGCCACAGAATATTTGTGCTGCTGATGGAATTTGGGTTCTGTGTAAGAACAGCATGTCTTCTTAACTACTGAGTTACCTCACCAGCCCCTTTATTCACTTTACAAAACTATAATCAATTTATATTTTACCTCATAATATATTTATTCATGATAGCATAAAAGCAGTTGTGTAGATAACTATCAGCAGTTGAAAGTGAACCTATGATTTCTGTGGACATCTTCAGTTAAGGAATATGCAATAATTTTTGAGCTGATGGTATGGAGTAGGTGGAACAGATGGAGGGAAAAAGAGTTGGTTGCTGTGGCACGGAATGCACTATCTCTCTTCTAGGTATGGCATCCCTGGACAACAAGGCAACAGGGCGGATGGGAATGCGGGCAGCTGTGTACTACATGGTGACCACAGTCATTGCGGTTTTCATCGGGATCCTAATGGTCACCATCATCCATCCTGGCAAGGGCTCCAAGGAGGGGCTGCACCGTGAAGGCCGAATTGAGACTGTCCCAACAGCTGATGCTTTCATGGACCTGGTCAGGTGACATTCTCATTTTGTTGGAACTTCTGGATGTACATGCAACAATTCTCTTTCTCTGAGAGACCACAGGAAAAGGTGGATCTAGTTTGGAAAAGAAAGCAACTATTGGTTGCTATTTGTGGTACTCAATTTTTGCCCTGCATATCCTCAAGAAAGCTACATCTAGATATGACTTTGAACTCTGAGACTAGGGAGGACACAGTCTGAGCTGCTGTTCACTAGGTGTTCCCAACTTCCTTTTATGAGCAAATGATTCTCTTAATCCAACAAGACTTTGATGTCAGAATTGACATCAAAGTTAGTCATGTTGTTCTCATAGTACTGACTTGGAGTTGGAAGGGTTTAGGAACTGTTATGGTGTTTTCTACTGCTATTATACAATAGCTGAGGGTCAATGAGAGGGCTCAGTGGGTAAAGGCACTTGCTGCAAATCCTTTGGATCCACCTGGTGGAAGGAGAGAATCTCACATCCATATACATCCTGTGGCATATATGTACACACACACATACACACATGCACACATGCACACATATGCATCCCTAAATAAATGTAATAAGATTTAGGGGCAGTGAGGTGATTTAGTGGGTAAAGGCACTTGCCTCCAGGCCTGACAACCTGGTGAGATCCACATGGTGGAATGTGTGGCAGCTTAGATTAATGCAGACAAATTGTAATAAATATATAAACAACTTTAATGGAAAAATCAGACTCACAAAACCAAGGTTCCCGTGGAGCACAGGAAACAGGAAGGGGTGCGCAGTTTATCAGTAAACATTCGCCAGAGGCAAGCCCGCCCCCTTAGAGGCTGGCCTAACCCTACAGGAATGAGAGAACCAACTCCTACATGTTGTCTACCTTTTATATGTACACCATGGCACTGCACCTCCCCAATAAATATATTAAAATTTAAATGAAGTGAAAAGTATACTTGAAATCAAGTTAGTTGTAAAATAAAAACAACAACAATATCAAAAAGAAACAGAAAACAAAAGTTTATTTAGCTCATTATTTAGGAATTTAGGATGTCCAAGAACTTGGTACCAGCATCTAGTGAGGACCTTCTAGTTGCATGCTAACATGGCAGAAGGCATATGTATAGTTAGCCAGAGCAAGCATATCAAAAACAAAGCCACTTCCTATTAATCTATAAACCTTTTAGTACAAGGATCTACCTCTCAACATCTCCTTTATGGCAGTCAGATTCCAACACGACTTTTGGAGAGGCCTAACTGTAATCAGTCCATGGTAAGTTACACCTGCATCTTCGAGCAGCTCTGTGGGTCTGGGTGGTGTCCTCTGGCCTTTGGTTACCTTGTGTGGAAGCTAGGGATATAAACAGTATTTACTTCTAGGGTCACTGTAGGGCAGGCACTTGGCTCAGCACTTGGCCCACAACATGCATTTCTATGTTGCCTGCTGCAACTATTGTCATTGCTTCTGCAGTAGTCACCTTTGGCTCACTTCCAAAGTCTAACCACTTTCTTTTCTCTGACATTTTTGTGCAGAAATATGTTTCCACCTAACCTTGTGGAGGCCTGCTTTAAACAGGTTAGGAGGAAGCACATGGTTTAATCAAGGAGGGATGGAGGGGAAAGGGAGCTTGCTTCCCAAGAAGAAGGGTGGGAGAAGGGCCTAAAAGAGTGGGTAGGTGGGAGGCCTTGGGGAGGATTCTGGGAGAACAAGTGTACTTCCCATGGCTATGATGGTGATACAAAGGGTTGCCAGGGTATGGGACTCATACTTAGAATCTGGGGTAGGTGTTCTGGGACTTCTGATCACAGATATCCTAAAATGTGTCTGAGCATCACCTTGGGGCTGATAATAGAAAAGTGGCCACAGGCAACATGTAAAGAGGACTTTTCTGTAAAATTTTATTTACAGAAGCAAGTAGTGGACTGGATTTGACCATCAGAGGGTGTTTAACAACCCCTTTATTGAAGGCTAGACATAAAGATGCAGACTATATAGCTATTCTTCCATGCTTTGGTTTTTAACATCCTTGCTATTCAGTTACTCATTTCTTCTCCTTGGTGAAGAAGATGAAATACAAGTCTTGTTTATATTAGGCCAATGTCAGTTATTTTATTATTATCATTATTAATCATCACCAATATGTGTGTATGTTTGTGTGTGAATGCATATCAGGTGTGGACATGGATCTCACATGACAACTTTTGGGAGTTGGTACTCTCTTCCCACCATGGTTCTGAGGATCTAACTCAGATCGCCAGGCCTGTGCACAGTGAACACTTTTACTTGCTGTGATCTATCTTTATGACCCAGTTACTCATTTCTTTAGTCATACGTTTTATTAAGAACTTTAAAATTGAAATACAAAAATTGTAGTATCCCTTTGCATTAACAAAGATTGTGTACAAAATCTTGGCTGCCCAAGTCTCTTACAACAACGGGTAGAATTTGCTAATGACCTCTAGATCATCCTCTAGGTGACACAGTACAGCTAACACATGTAAATGATAAGCAGACAGCTGTTCTGCATTAGAACCATTTAGAGCAGTGGTTCTCAACCTGCCTAATGCTGTGACCCTTTAATACAGTTCCTCATGTTATGGTGACCCACAACGATAAAGTTATTTTCGTTGCTACATCATAATTGTAATTTTGCAACTGAGAGGTGTCTTAGTTCCTAAGAAACTTAGAAATATGTATTATCCAATGGTCATGACCACAGGTTGAGAACCGCTGGTTTAGAGAATAATGACAAGACACATGTGTGTATGTGTTCACTACATAAATGGTTTTCTTTTAGTATTTCCAATCCATGGTTGCTTGTGTCTATGGACATGGAATTCACACATGCTGAGGAGTTGTGTGTGAAGCTTTTTCTAGGGAGATAAAGCATACAGGTCTCTCAGCCCATGACAGACCTAAGTCATGATTGCACAATTTGTGGAATCAATGAGTTTTTGGCAGGCTTTCTAATTGGAGTATGGGTGAGCGGTTACTTAAAGGAGCAGGGATGACTCAAAGACATCTGCATCCTCAGAAAAGCCCAGCCCAGAATGGGTGACAGCTATTGAAAGCTGTATTCCCAGAGGAGCTCTCTGTGCAATTTACAAGCAGCTCACCAGGTCCTGGACTCTCCTCTTGGGAGCTTGGCAGGTCAGAGTCTCCTCCACTAGTGATTGTTTAACGCTTTTATAAAGGCAAGGGAGGGTTTTGCAAACCTTGTAAGCCTCAGATTTCCCAAATACGTGAAGTTTGTTTACTTCCTGAATTTCATGAACCTACTGGAGTGAATCTTTCAATTTAGAGGAAGCTGCTATACAACAGTAGAATACACTTATATTTTTAATGGAATGCTGAAATATATATACACACATATATATTTCATATGATATATAAAATATATATTAAATATACATATTTATATACACATACATATAATTTGTTATATATAAAATATGCATATATTTTATGTATAAACACAATATATAAATATATGAAATATGCATATATGGTGAAAGGGCCAAATCATGCCAATTAGATAAACACACACACAATAAATAAATCTTAAAAATCTTTCCAATTTTGGTTATTGGATTGTTGTTTTATTACATTTTACTTATTTACTTTGTGTGTGTGGTTATGTATAGATGTGGGTACATGCCATGGTGCACATGTGGAGATTAGAGGACAAGGTGCAGAGTCAGCTCTCCACGTCTACTGTGTGGGGCCTGGGATCAAACTCAGTTTATCGGCATTGGTTGAAAGCTCCTGTACGCCCTGAGCCGTCTTGTCTGCCACAGAGTTGGAGTTTTTGGTAGCTCAACTTGTATTTATTTGAGTTGTTTTATCCATTTCCTTGGTTACATATCCAACTGTAGTCTTGCTGGGCTATAAGAGTAATTTGTGTGTGTGTGTGTGTGTGTGTGTGTATGTGTGTGTGTGTTGTGCTCGTACATGTGTATACATGTGTGTGTGTGTGTGTGCATGCTCATACAAACACCAAGGATGGAATATAGAACCTCACATGCCTAGTTCCCAGTTTTTACTTTTTGTAGCATGTTCATTCTTAGGGGTATCTACAAGGGAGCTAACCACCATACTGAATCTGGTCCCAATTTCTCTGTCTTTCAGTTTAAGACGCAGTACAGCACACGAGTGGTAACCAGGACGATTGTAAGGACAGAGAATGGGTCAGAGCTGGGGGCCTCCATGTCTCCCCCATCATCAGTAGAGAATGAAACCAGCATCCTGGAGAATGTCACCCGGGCATTGGGCACCCTGCAGGAGGTGATAAGCTTTGAGGAGACTGTGCCTGTGCCTGGCTCGGCCAATGGCATCAATGCCTTGGGCCTTGTGGTCTTCTCTGTGGCCTTTGGGCTGGTCATTGGTGGCATGAAGCACAAAGGCCGTGTCCTGAGGGACTTCTTCGACAGCCTCAATGAGGCTATTATGAGGCTGGTGGGCATCATCATCTGGTGAGTAGTAGGGTGGGTGCCTGGGATTAGGTGGGTGGTGATGGTTCCTGGAGGTGATGGCAACGGGGCTGATGGGACTGTTGGAGACATTTGGCCAGTCATTCATCTGTGTACTAGTTAATTTAATCATCAACTCATTTGTTCATTCATATCTTTCTGTAGTGATTTATTCAGCTGTTCATGACCCCATTAATCTACTTACTCCCTTACTTGTGCATTGACTCAGTGAATCTATGCTCATTCTTCCACACATTGGGTCATCCACCCCCCATTTTTATGTAATAAAAATGTATTCTTAGAGGACTTCATACATGAATACAAAGCATTTTGATAATATTCACATTCCCATTCTCCCTCCAACTTCTCAGCTTCTCTCAGACTCTCATGTCCCCATTCCAACTTTATATCCTCATATGCATGTTTGTATATATCTTCCATTGATTCCAAGTAGAGCTGTTTGTAGGAACGTGGATGAGGGCACATTCACTGAGCTTGGACAACCTACAAGATGCCACATCCGTGAAGAAAGTTGACTTTCCCTTCCACAACAGCCATTAACTGTCAAAATCAAAATGGTTTCTCAGCTATGGGTGGGGCTTGTGAATCTCTCCCCACTCCATGTTGGAATGGTGACTGGCTTGATCTCATATCAATCTTGTGCAGAAAGCTACAGTTGTTGTGAGTTCATTTCATTGTTTTTGAGACAGTCTTCCTATGTAGCCCAGGATTGTCTGGAACCTGCCAGCCTTTTGTGTCAGCTTCCTGATTGGTGGGATTATAGGTATGTGCCACTACATTTCTGCATCGGCTAATTTACTCATCAGCTCATTAATTAACTTCTATATCTATTTAGTGATAAATCTGTTAATTAATTAAATTATTCCACAATTATTACTTTATTGCATTATCATTTATCAATAATCTATTATCTATCTATCTATCTATCTATCTATCTATCTATCTATCATCTATCTATCTATCTATCGTGTCTGAGTAGATGTGTATGGATATGCATGCCATAACATGCACATGGAGATAGAGGATAAACTTGTGGGAGTTAGTTTTCTCCTTCTACCACGTGGATTTCAGGATCCATCTGAGACCATCATACTTTGCAGAACACATCCTCACCTGTGGAGCAATCTTTCTGGCCCCTATAATTATTTTAAGTGCTAGGGTTGAACTGAGGCCTTACAATCATTGATCTGTACCCTCAGTTTCTTAAATAACTATCTTTTTTGCATGATGCTCAGGATGGAACCTAGGGCCTTGAATAAGCTAGGTTAATACTGTAGTGTTAACCCTATTAGTTAAGCTATTGACTGCATTTATTCGTTTACCCACTTACACCAATCTACTTGGATTCATTCCCAGACCTGTTTATTTACATAGGCACTTGCTGTTCTCTCATTCACTCCCTCAGACATTCCACATGCCCATTCACTTATATACTTACTCTTGTCCTGTTTTCTCATTTTCCTGTCTACATTTGGGGATAGTGTGATATACATGTGTATGTATGTTATTTTTGCATGCGTGGGGGTGAGTATGCATGTGGTGGCCCAAGGGGGATGTTGGGAATCATTTTCCATTGCTCTTTCACATTATTCATTAAGGAAGGATCTTTCAGTTAAACCTCAGGTTCAAGAAAATGGCTCATGTTGTTAGCCAAGCTGCTCTGTGGGATCCCCTGAATTCACCTTTTGAGGTTGGAAATACAGGCTTGCTTCAGTGCCTATCTAGTATTACATGGGATTCAAACTCTGCTCCTCATGCTTACATGACAAGTGTTTTAACCACTGAGCCATCTCCCCAGACCCATGCCCCTTTTCACATTAATTTTTTCAAAATCCTTTTGTTCCACCACTAGATCATCCATCTAGCAGATATCTCCCCAGGCTTGAAACATAGATATACTGAATCATACTTTATTGGTGTGGGACAATTTTGTATTCTGTCAATTTTGTTTTAAATAAACTCTGATTGGCCAATAGCTAGGCAGGAAGTATAGGCTGGACAACCAGACAGGAAGTAGAGGTGGGGCAATGAGAACAGGAGTATTCTGGGAAGAAGGAAGCTCTTTCTGCAGTCCTGCCCAGACAAAGGAGAAGGAAGATTGACCTACCCTGCTGAAAAAAGTACCGAGCCATGTGGCTAACATAGATAAGAATAATGGGTTAATATAAGTTATAAGAGTTAATAAGAAGCCTGAGCTAATGAGCCAATCAGTTTATCATTAATATAGACCTTTGTGTGATTTCTTTGGGGTTAAAGAGCTGTGGGAACTGGGCAGGCCAGAATCCCCAACAAGCAGGCCCTCATGTTACACTTTATCTTGAAGACGTTTGTAAAATCTAGGAGGAGACAGATGCAGACCATGTGTATGTAACCCAAAGCAGTAGGTGCTGTAGTAAATTGCAGTGGATGCTGCCTGGGAAGATGAGGAGTGAGACTTACAACTGGATCTGAAAGATGAGGAAGAACCTAACTGGGTATGAGGAGGAGGGAGATATGGCAAACAAGGATGGGAACAGGCAAAGCCTGAGAAGCCCTGAGTGTTTGTACAATGACTATTCTGGGTTTATTTTGGTTGCTGTGATAAAATTCTGACATAAAGAGCAGCACACAGGGAATTTACAGCCGCACAGGCCCAGGTTTCATTCCATTACTGTGCAGAAGACAAGGAAGGAACTTAAAACATCATATCACAATCACGAGTAGAGAGAGTAAACATGTGAGCCCCTGATTGCTTGCTTGTTTGCCTGCTTAGTCTCAGCTAGCTTCCTTGATTCTCCCACAGTCCAGGGCCCACCAAATGGTGCTGCCTATAAGGGGCTGAGCTTTCTTACAACAATTAGCAATTAAGACAGTCCCCCATGGACATGCCCACAGGCCAACTTGATCTAGATAATCCCTCACTGAAACTTTCTTCTCAGGTAATTTTAGCTTGTGTCAAGTTGATAGTTCAAACTAACTAGCACAGAAGAAAATTTATGAAAGTTTAGAAGGCCAGAGATAGGGGATGTCTTAGTGTCTTGGTTAGGGTTTCTATTGCTGTGAAGAGACACCATGGCCATGGCAACTCTTATAAAGGGAAACATTTAATTAGGACTGGCTTACAGTTTAGTGGTTTAGTTCATAATCACCATGGCAGGAAGTGTGGTGGCATGCAAGCAGATGTGATGCTAGAGAAAGAGACAAGAGTTCTACATCTGGATCAGCAGGCAGCAGGAAGAGAGAAGCAAACCAGGTCTGGCTTGAGCATCTGAAACCTCGAAGCCTGTCCCCAGTGACACACTTCCTCCAACAAGATCACACTCCATCAAGGCCACACCTCCTAATAGTGCCATTTCCTATGAGCCTACGGGCATCATGTTCATTCAAACTACCACTTAGCAATGCCTAAGGATGGGATTCTGAAGGTAATAGTCATCTGCAGTCAAGTTGGAAGGGACTTGAACAAGGGAATGAGATAAAGACACCAGAAGGCTGCCTGCTATGGTGTGGTAGGAAGTTTCTTGCTGATTGGATGAGCAGTTGGGTGACCGGTGGGAGGTGAATGTATTCATAGAATTCGACTGTAGTAGTTAGTCCCCTGTTGTTATGACAAAATGTCCAGGAAAAAAAAAACAATTTAAAGGAGGAAAGGTTTATTTTTGTCTCACAGTATTGCAGATTTCAGTGCATAGTTGGCTGGCTCCATTGCATTTGGACCATGAGGGTGAATGGATACAGCCAATAAAGCTGCCAACTTCACCACATCTAGGAAGAAGAGAGCAAGAGAGTGAGGGGCTGGGGAGAGAAGGTACACCCCCTAGTGATCTACTTTCTTTAACCAGGCCCTTCATATAGTTTGTTCCCAATAGCTCATTCAGTTATGTAATGCATCAATGCATAACCCGTAGCAGAGGTTGGGATGCTCATAACAGTTTAGCTTTCACAGTCCCCACCTGAGAACATGGGACCACAAAGGACCAGTGTTCAACAAGTGAGATTTTGGGGGCAATGTTTTGGAAGCAAACCCTAGCGCCAGTGCTATTTTAAAACTTATTTTATTTATGAGTGTGGATGTGTTAATGGATGTGCAGATGTACCTATGGGTGCTCAAAGAGCCCAAAAAGTGGTTCCAGATCCCTTGGAGCTGCAGTTGGAGGTGTTTTTGAGCTGTCCAACGTGAATGGTGGTATACCAAAATCAGGTTTTCATCATTGAACATCAAGTACTCCTAACCACAGGGTCATTTTCCCAGTGTCCCAGTGCTGGCTTTGATGCTTGAGATAGGTTGGGATGAAGTTGGGTTTGTGTGGTAGGAGCTGTCTGGGTTCAGGACACTGTATGGGCAAAGCTTTGGGAATGCCAACTCCAGACCTGTAAGGGAGATCACCCTAATAAATATGTGTCTTGCTTAGGTATGCACCAGTGGGCATCCTGTTCCTGATTGCTGGGAAGATTCTAGAAATGGAAGACATGGCTGTCCTTGGAGGTCAGCTGGGCATGTACACTCTGACTGTCATCGTTGGCTTGTTCCTTCATGCTGGTGGTGTGTTGCCCCTCATCTACTTCCTCGTCACCCATCGGAACCCTTTCCCATTCATTGGGGGCATGCTACAGGCCCTCATCACAGCCATGGGTACCTCTTCCAGGTATGACCTTTCCTGGAACTCTCCCTGGGTCTATTGCTCATCTTTCATGGGTTCCTTTAGGTGTCCTCTCCACCTCCCCAAACACCTCTTCTGGTTGTACAATGGTATTGGGGGACTCTTGAAGCTCTCTACATGTGGCCTATACTTGGGGTTTTAGTCTTTGTCCTGTGATGACTCTCCTAACCTCCTTTCTCTTTTGTTTCTCCAGTTTATGAGGAGAACCAGATGCCAATGCTGGGTTTGAGATGGTACTGTGCGAGTACCACAAGCTCAGAGAGTCTTAGCTTCTGATGCTTTCTTCTCCTGTTTGTGCTTTTAGGGGGCTAATAAAGTGAGCTCCCTTATCTCTCATCATTCAAATTCAAAACTGTCTGAGCAAGTATCCCAAGAGCCAAACAGATAGAAGAAAATATTTTTATTGTCCTCATGGTGGTTGGAGAATGTGTCTTTTGATCTTTGATCTGTGGCTAAATAGGACTGATACTATTGTACCCAGAATTAAACCAATCTGATCACTATGGAGCTAGTCACCCCACCCTCCCAGTGCTCTTTCTGATGCTCGGAAAAAGGCTGAAGTAGCATTGGGTGTTTTGCAGTAGGCCACATCTAGTTCCAAGGCCAACGTCTGTGAGTCCAAGCTCTAAGTTTCATGGCATAAAGCTGACCACACAGGGGTCTTTTCTTGCAGAAAAACCGACCCCAAATGAGATGCCTACTCTTTCTACTTAAGTTGACAGTCAAATGCAAGTACAGTCTGAAGTGGTTGGGGAGAGGCCTAGGGCTCCTGAAGATGAGGTTGTTCCTTGTGTAGACTGACACTCTGCCGTTTACTGTTCTAGGTTCATTTCTGTTGCTGTGATAAAATATACCAATAAAGGACAGTTTAGGGGTGGGAGAAGGAATTTATTTGGCTTACAGTTCCAAGTTACAAGTCCATCTCTCTAGGGAAATCAAAACAGGAGCCGGAGGCAGCCAATCACATCACTCTCAGGCACAGAGAGTAAATACATGCTTGCTGCTTGCTTGGCTCAGCTTGATTTCTCCACTTTGACGTAGTTCAGGACCTTCTGCCTATGGAATAGTAGCACCCTCAGTAGCCCGAGTCTTCTCATTTCAATTAGTTATGACAATCCCCCAAAGGTAATCCACATAGGATGACCAAATGTAGTAAGCTATCATTGAAACTGTCTTCCCAGGTAATTCCTGGTTGTGAAGCTGACAAAGTTACTCATCATATTTAGGCTTTGGAGTGGGAGGTCAGCCATCAGGGCTAGACTGGCATTATAAACTCTTGGTGTGAATAGGTCAAGAGACATTCATCTTGGGGGATCCCTACCACTGAGTTCTTTCTGCATCAGGAGTCCCATTTCCCCATGCACAGCTGTTCCTCCCACTTTCTACTCCTTGCTCAGATTCTAGCCTGGTTTCCACGTGCTAGAGGGAAGCCTCCTTTGACCCACTGCTGCCCCTGCCCCTGCCCCATCCTTCTACTCCCTATTCTCAGCCTCCAGAGCTCTTTTTCTCCAGCTCTGCAACCCTGCCTATCACTTTCCGCTGCCTGGAGGAAGGCCTGGGTGTGGATCGCCGCATCACCAGGTTCGTGCTGCCTGTGGGGGCCACCGTCAACATGGATGGCACAGCACTCTATGAGGCCTTGGCAGCCATCTTTATTGCTCAAGTCAACAACTATGAGCTCAATCTGGGCCAGATCACCACAATCAGGTGAGACAATGATGTCATCAGCTGGATAGGACAGGCTGTCTGTTACAAGGTCTACAGACAAATTTCCTGTTTATAGTTGCAGCTCATGCCTACCTAAGGTATATAATTATGTATATGCAAATATCCTTAAATCTGAAAAACAAAAAACGAACCCGTGAAACATTTCTGGTTTCCAGTATTTGGATAAAGGATCCAGGAGACTCAGCAGCATTTGTCCCCATAGATGGTTTTTCTCATCTACGTTGCTTATTGTCTGCCCAACATACAAGAATGAAAATGTAAACTCTGTGAAGGAAAGTGTTTCTTCACTGGAAATTTCTATTGTAGACACACCCTGACTTAAGATGTTTGACTTAAGATCTTTCTTTCCCTCTCTCTCCACCCCCTGCCCCTTCTGAGCTGGCTGGCCTGGCTGGGTAGCTGGGATTGTAGTCATGTGCCGTCAGGCCTGGTAATGGAATGATATTCTGACTTTATAAGGGTGTGAGTGTGATACATATTTAATAGAAACGACACTTTGAATTTTTCTACTTTGTATGTATGTATGTGTACCTGTCTGAGTCCATATTCGCCATATGTGTGAAGGTGCTTTCCAAGGTGAGAAGAGGGATTCAAGTTCCCTAGAACTGGGGTTACGGGCGGCTGTCTGATACAGGTTTTAGGAATAGATCTTAGGCCTTCTGCAAGGGCTGTTAAGTGCTCTTAACTACTTTAAAACGTGGTTTTAAAGAGTTTAAGAATTGCATGTGTGTGTGTGTGTGTGTGTGTGTGTGTGTGTGTGTGTGCATGTGTGTGTCACAGTGCACATGTGAAGTCAGAGGATCACTCACAGGATTCAGTTTTCCTCTTCTGCTCTGTGGTCCTGGGGATTGAACTTAGGCTTTCAGACTTGGCAGCACAGCATCTTTACCCACTGAGCCGTCTCTCAGGTCTCTACACTTTATTTTTGATTGGAATCTTTTCCTAGGCTAGTGATGTGGTGATTGTTTTAATTGTCCTCTTGACGGGATCTGGAATCACCTGATAAGAGAATCTCAGTGAGAGATCGCATAGATCAGGTTGGCCTCTGAGTATGTCTGTGTGTGGGGGGGGGATCAGCTTGATTATTTTAATAAATGCGGGGAGGTTCAGTCTAAAAGTGGGCAATGCTTGTTCCCTTAGTTTAAATCCTGAGTTGTTTAAAAGTAGAGAGAGACCTCACCTGCAAGCATGCACACATGTTCTATGTGCTTTTGACTGGATGTGTTGTTGCTAACTGCTCCAAGTTCCTGTCTTGACTTCTCTACAACCATGGATTATAACCTGGAATCATGAGATAAAACACATAACCTTTTCTCCTGAAGTTTTTTTTGGCATGTGTGTGCATGCATGCACACGCACACGCACGCACACACACACTTATGTATGTATGTATGTATGTATATATATATGTATATTAATCTCAGTAACAGATAAGAAGACTGGACAGGCACTGTCCTTGGCTCTTTCCTGTGCACAATGAGAAGATAGGAATGCGTCTGCCTTTCTCCTGTACAAAGCTCGTGAAAGGAGTCTTCTCATTCCAAAGCTCATTCTTTAATGCCAGTCTGAGTATTTGCTCAACCACCGTTCTGATAGAGAAGTTCTCTGGGCCATTCTTCTCCCCTGTTCTATGTGTATTGCTATAAAATCTAGAAAGTGATTTCCTTAACTACTGAGGAGAAAGCTGGCTTCTGGGAGGCGCTGTTGCCTTTTCTGCAAAGCTCAGTGGCCTTTACAATGCATGTTACATCATGCTGAGCAGTTGGAGTTGATGCTGGAATTTTAACAGAGGTCACATGGGTCCTACTTTCCATTTCATAGTAATTTGTGAGACTTGAAGTGAAAATAAGACTTTGGACGTGCTGGACAGGTGCTCTACCAATGAGACAGACACTTGGCTCTTTAATTTTTTTATTAAAAGATTATCTGATCAAGAAATGGTCTCTAGTGGGCTGAAGAGATGACTCAGTGGTTAAGAGCATTATTCTTTCAGAGGAACCACATGTCAACTCACAGCCCTCTATAATGAGATTTGGTGCCCTCTTCTGGCCTGTAGGCATACATGGAGATAGATGTTGTATACATAATAATTATTTATTTACTTATTTATTTACAAAAAGCATTTGCTGCTCTTGCGGAGAACTTGGGTTTGATTCCTACTAGTAACGTGGTGGCTTACAACTGTTTATCACCCCAGTTCCCGGGGTCCCAATGCTCTTTTATGGCCTCCATGGCTACTAGGCACACATACATGAAGGCAAACATCCATTAATATAAAATTAAGAAAACAAACAACTATAAAAAAATCAAGAAATAAAAAGATTCTAAAACTAAGATGGGCCAGAATGCTCTCACCTCCAATGTGGTAAGCTGTATTTGCCTTCTTAAAAAACAAAACTCTGTCTTTTCAAGCCACATCTTTCTTGAATGATAGCTGACAAAAGTTGCCTATATTTTAAGGTGTGTTTTGTGATTATTTGCAATATGTGCACTCTGCAAAGTGATCACTGCAGTCAGACTGCTTATTATATTTATCTCCTATAGTTTCCTTCCTTTCTCACACCCCCTTCTGTTGCCTGTGTCTTCTCTTCTCTCCTCTCTCATTTTATCTTCTCTTCCCTTCTTTTCCACTCTCTTTTTCACTCCCGTCTTCCTGTAATTTCCCACCTCCTCTTCTAACCCGTATGTCCTCTCCTTTTCTCATTTCCTTCCTTCTTTACCACTCCTTCCTCCCTCCCTATTTTCTATCTCTTTTCTTCCCTTCCTTCTTCTTTCCTCTCTCCCCTCCAGAGCCTTGTTGCCTTCTCCCTCCCCTCCTCTCCCTGTCTGTACTTCTGTTCTCTCTGCCCTTCCCTTCTCTTTCTCTTTGTTGATGGTGAGAATAGACTTTAGGTTTGTTCTCTTTGAAAAACTCAAATATCAACACGTTATCCTTAGTCACACCCTCCACACTGTACATTAGATCCTCAGCACCCAGTCATCTGGTATCTAGACATCTCGTAGGTTCTGACAGACATTTTCTGTTTCCCAGTCCATCTGCCCAGCATCACAGTTTCTGATTTTTTGCTTTGGTGACTTCAGCTTTTTAACTTTAGCTTCACATCCAAAGTGAGCTCATGTATCACTTTGCTTTCTGTGTTAGTTTGGGCATTTAACTTAAGATGCCCTTCCCTGCCTGGTCCTCTAATCTCCTGTCCTCTCTTTCCTCCTGTATTCCCGACTCTTCCCATTTGCAGCATCACAGCCACAGCTGCCAGTGTTGGAGCAGCTGGCATCCCCCAGGCAGGACTGGTCACCATGGTGATCGTGCTCACATCCGTCGGCCTGCCCACAGAGGACATTACGCTGATCATAGCTGTGGATTGGTTCCTGTGAGTGTGCTTGGCTTTGACTTATCTCATAACCTTTTCCTGAAGGATTCTGTAAGGACAGGGTTGTAGAATGTTAGAGGGCTAGGGAGGCACTGGGATGGTCTGCTAATGATGGCCATAGACTCCAATCCCACAGAGAGCGAGGAGGATTCTGAAAAGGAGGCCTCTGTCTGTCAGTCAGCCCACTCCTCTTCAGCCCATTTCATACAGAAATCATACAAAGGTGTTCAAATATATATTTTTTAAACTCAAAATTTTAAAAGTTTTTTTCCTTAATGAAAATGCTAAATATAAAGAATTTTAGAAGTAAGAAGAAAACACAAGTTACCTGTTGTGTTAAAGAGTGAAGAATTTTGGCTTATAAATCACTTGTGATGACAGACAAAAGAATTTTGGTGGATTTATGATCTGAATGCTACAACTAGTCACATTTTCTCTCTCTCTCTTTTCTCCTTCCCTCCTTCTCCCTATTCTTCTTCTTCTTCTTTTTTTTTTTTTTGGTTTTTCGAGACAGGGTTTCTCTGTGGCTTTGGAGCCTGTCCTGGAACTAGCTCTTGTAGACCAGGCTGGCCTCGAACTCCCAGAGATCCGCCTGCCTCTGCCTCCCGAGTGCTGGGATTAAAGGTGTGTGCCACCACCGCCCAGCTTCTTCTCCCTATTTTTTTCACTAAATTTGTTCCTTGACAATTTCATACACGTATGCAATGCTTTCTGGTTACTCCCTGCTACTCTTAACTCCTTCGCATCTCTGCCAGCCTTTGTCCCTACAACTCTGTTCCCCACATTCATGTCTTTTGTTTGTGACCCACTGAGTTATTCATGTGTCTTGGTGTAAGACTATGCCATGGAGCTTAGTAGGGGCATGAGAGGGTGCATACCTGGAGACAAGGACTCCTAATCCATCAGCACCAATAGTTCGGAAGGAATGAGCCACTCCTTAATCACCATTCCTCTCCCTTTATTGCTCTCTCTTTTCCCTCCCTCCCTTTCTTGTTTTTCTTCCTCCTCCCACTGTCTTTTCTTGTCTTCCATTTTTCTTCCTTTTATCTTCCTGTCTCATTTCTTTCTCTATCTCCTTCCTCCTCTCTCCCTCCTTTCCTTCCTCTCTTATTTTCTTTCTTCTATCCATTCTTTCTCTTTCTCTCTCTCTTACTTTCTTTCATTCTTTCCTTCTTCCTTTTTATCCTTTTTGTATCATTCCCTTCTTTTACCATTCATTCACTCTCTCATTTTTCTTATAACATGAATTTTATATAAAATTTTGATTTTCATCCCCTATGTGGGAGCTGTGAGCAAGATCATGTCCCATTTGTACAAAAAACTAAAATTCCATTTGAACAGTCCCTAGCCTGCCCTACACCTATGTAGACTTATGGTGAAGAGTCTGTATCAAACATTCATGTTCAATAGTCCGTATCAGGTACTAATGTCTAATGATCTTCATCAGATGCTTATGTCTAACAATCTAATAAGTCTATATCAGATCCTAATGTCTGACCATCTGCATCAGACTCTCATTTCTAATAATTTCTAATTTAGTTTTTTTTAGAAACAAGAGTCACAAATCAAAGAATAGATCTGAGGATTTAAGGGATGATGTTGTTAGGAAGAGTGGGGCCTGTTTAAGGTCATGTGGTTTTAATTTAGCCTGGAAACCTTTCTAGTCTACCCTTGGTTTTCAAAGGAGTTTTTCAGCCCCACCCATTAATCTATCTATTCTCCACCAGTGACCGGCTTCGTACGATGACCAATGTCCTGGGAGACTCAATTGGAGCAGCTGTCATTGAGCATTTGTCCCAACGGGAGCTGGAGCTGCAGGAGGCTGAGCTGACCCTTCCCAGCCTGGGGAAGCCCTATAAGTCACTCATGGCACAAGAAAAGGGGGCATCAAGGGGTCGGGGAGGTAATGAGAGTGTCATGTGAGAAGCTTCCAGCTCTCTGCCTAGGGAGGAGGGAAGGGACTGGGAAGGGAGTCCTGGGGACAATTTGTTGCCCAACTTACTGTGGGCTGAACATACATATTCTGTATGGATTCTCTGGGAACTGCTGAGATAAAAGAGAAGAAGCGAAAGGTTTCTAAGGTATATCCATCACTGTTGTGTGCTCCATATATAAGAACAACCTAAGGGAGGAAAGATTTATTTTGGCTATGGTTATAAAGGGCTTAGTTCACCATAGTGGGGAGGCATGGTAGAGAAGAGCAGCTCACTTCATGGTGGTCAGCAAGCAGAGACGAGAGAAATGGGAAGTAACCAGGGAAGGACACAGCTCTTCCAGACACACCCTACTTCAACGATACCCTGTCTCCTACTTCTCACCACTCCAGCACAGCCGTCATATCACGGAACCATCAAGAGTCTGATCCACTGATTAGGCCATTAGGCCAGAGTTCTCACAATGCATTCCTCTCTGGAGATGTCCTCACGGACACACAGAGGTGTGTGCTTTATAAATTTTCTAAGCACTGGTTTCAGTCTAGCCCAGGTGACAAAGACAGTCCATTATCACAAAGGTCCCTGTTCATTTCTGAGTGTATGATGAGAACTTGAAGGATGGTGTGAGAAAAAGGGGAGGGAAACATTTGGAATTGGGAAGGAGGAAATCTTCAGATAGATCAACTCATACTCTTTATGTTCTCAAGGAGTGGTGGAGCTGACAAAGGTAAAGAAAAATACCTATTATTTCTTGTGATAAAGTGATCTGTGGCATTTTTGTTGAGGTCCTAAAGACCACCTTTAGATTTAATGATTTATTAACCAGACTCAACAAACTCTGAAAAGTAATTTACCTCTCAGGTATGGTTTATTATGGTGAAGAGCACTGGTTAAAACCAACAAAGGCACAACTCATTGGGCCTGGGCTGGCCTAGACCAGATGTGTGTTTCCAGTCCCTTTCTAGTGAAGTCACTGAAACCAATGCCTTCTTCCTACAGCAACATTATGACAACGTGTATGGTGCACTGACATCTTAGTTCCATTTTCTGTTGTGACAAAACATGTAGACAAAAGCCACTTGAGGGTAGAGGGTTTATTTGTCTCTTAGTTCCTGATTACATACAGTCTATCATCGCAGGGAAGTCCATGTGGCAGGAAGCTGAAGCAGCTGTCACATCCACAGACAAGAGCAGACAGAAGTATTCAAATTCATTAATGAATGCTCATTAGTGCTCAGCTTGCTCCTTGCATTTCATTAAATTCAAGGTCCAGCCCATAGAACTGTATGGTCTGCATTCAGGATGGCTCTTCTTATCTCAAATAACTCAATGAAAATCACTCATAAGTCCACAGGAAAACCCTATCTCAACAATTTCTCATTGAGATTTCCTTCCAGGCGATTCTAAACTATCAATCTAAACTGACAATTAAGCCAAAATCATTAAAAAGCTCACCTGAACTCTGACTATGTCACACAGGCATGGAACACCCACGGACTTACATTTTTTAGTCTCTGAAATGGACAAACCAGTGTACTATGGTCCAGGGCACCAAGTGCATACCAAAAGTCATTAACCTCATGGTCAGCATACATTCTTGGGTATGGCCAGAGCCCCTTGTTTTGCCTGACACTTTTATCAGGCAAAATTTTTGAAAGATTATTCCAAAGATAGAGGTGTTCTAGTTTTGTTTCTGTTGCTGTGGTAAGACACTTTGACCAAAATCAACTTGAGGGGTTATTTGATGTGAAATTCCAGGTCGTACTCCATCACTGAGTAAAGTCAATGCAGGGACTTGAAGGCTGGTCTGCTTCTATTCCACATAGCATTATCTTCAACCAAGGAGCTCAGTTTGCAGCCAGAGGAGTACAGTAGTAACCATGGAAGATTCTGCTTGCTAGCTGGTTGGCAGGCAAACATGTGCTCAATTGATTTCTTACACAGTTCAGGTCAGCTGTCTAGAGATGGTATTGCTCACGGTGGACTGGGTCTAATTAATAAGACATCGGTTTTATTGTTCTATTTCTGTGAAGAGACATGGCAACTCCTATGAAGCAAATTGGGGTTTGCTTACCGTCTCAGAAGTTTAGTCCATTTTCATTATAAGAGGGATCCTGGTGGCATGTGGGCAGTTATGCTATTAGAGAAGGAGTTGAGAGTTCTATATCCAGATCTGCAGGCAACAAGAAGAGAAAGTGACACCAGGCCTGGCTTGGGTCCTTGAAACCTCCAGTGACAAACTTCTTCCCTGAAGGCCACATTTCTTAATCCTTTCAAATAGTGCCACTCCCTGGTGACCAAGTATTTAAATCTATGATTGTGTGAGAGCCATTATCACTCAAACTACCACGACTCCTTCCTCCCAAATTCTAACAGACCAATCTGATCTGGGCAATCAGACTCCTGTAGGTGAGTCTAGACTGTCAAGTTAACAGTTAAAGCCAAGGAAGATAGCGGTCATAGCTCAAGAGATAAGCAAAGGCCAGTCCTTTATTTGTTTTTTTGGTATTTAATACTTTGTCCCATGAATTAACCTCTTGACTGTACACTAAAGTTGGAAATGAAGCAATTTCTTACAGAATAGGTTTCTGGATCTAATATCACCAACCATTGACTCCTAAGTCTGTACTTATAACCCCATGCTGCCTCAGTGGATTCTGTATTTCTTTACAAATTGAAGAAAGACATTGAATTAAGAATTATTTACTGCACCTAGTTGAACCTGGATGGATATCAAAGACTCAGTGAAAACACAAAGAAACAGTGAAATAGTTTATTTCACTTCCAACTCTTCTCAGAACCACTTCTACCAAACTCCTTTCTCAATTTCATGTCCTCTTTTCATAGCCTACTCAGTCCAATCAATGCTATCCGTGGGCACACTGATGTAGAGCCTTCCACTGGATCATAGGCAACCTACCAGGTGCTAATTTCCTAAGAAACACTGACTTTCCATGTCATTTCCTTAGCCTTCAAATGCTAAGGCTTTTCAGCAAGGGGAGAGGCCATGAGCCTCTCTTATATATAATGGAAATTTGACTGGGTTGATCTTATACAGGTATTGTGCAAACAGTCATAGCCATTTATGAATTCATGAGTATATCAGTCCTATCATGCCCCGAGAACACATAGGGTCCTATGATATCCTAACAAGGGCCACTTCTCTGGAGATAACTAACTCTTCCTACTCCAGCAACACTTTCTCAGCCATTCTTCACAACTGCAACTCTTAATGTTTTTCTACTCCCTCTCCCATGAGGTTCTCTGAGTCATGTGAAGAGGGCATGATAAAGTTGTCTTATTTAGGTCTGAGTAATCCTCAGTACAGGTGTATTTTGAGACACCTTCACATTATTCTTTAAGCACCTAAGATAATCCTGGAGTAGAAACAACTGGGAAATATAGGGGTGGGGGAATCTTCAGATCTAAGGCAATCTATTTGCAACTGAGGCACTTACAGAGATTTAAAGTAGTGCTTGCAAAAGGCAAGAGGCAGTTCTGTTTAATAAAGCCAACTCCAAGCCACTTGGGAGATGGAGGCAGGTGAATCTGAGTCCAAAGATAGCCTGGTCTATAGAGCAAGTTTCAAGACAGCCAGGTCTGCAAAAACAAAACAGAATGAAGAAAAACCAACTAACCAAACAAACAAATAAACAAACATGCAAAACCAACCAACCAACCAACCAACCAACCAACCAAACAAACAAACAAACAAATCAACCAACCATCCAAACAAACAAATGGACTCCACATTGGACCCTTAGAAACTTTCCCAAAGACTACAGTATTCAGCTCAATTTCAGCCTTTACACCTTCATCCTGCCTTGTATTAGAAGGTCTCCATCCTCAGAAAGGGCTTTGTGTGAAAGGGCACAAATGAAGAGGTAGAAGCATCCTTCCCCCAATTCTTGGAGCTTTCTTGCTCTTTCCCTCCTGCTCTAGTTTCCTTAGTAAGTGTCTGTGTTAGATTCTCATTGTTGTGATACTCAGTTTGTTTTTACTCAAATATTTAAAGGCTTCAAACCATGGTTGGTCAAATTCTTTGGGTTGGGACAATGGTGAAGTAGATTTGAGCCCATCAGTCTCTTCTGAGACACATCCCTGATGACTCAAAGACTTCCTCTACATTAGGACTCACCTCATAAAAGTTAAGTAACCTTCCAATGTTCCAAAATAGGAACCATACCTTAAATACATGTGTCTTTTGGGGCTACACTAGATCCAAATTACAGTAGAATGAGTTTAAAAAATGATTTCATTCTCATAGATAAAAGGTACATAAGGGTACACAATTTTGTTTGTGGGAGGAATTGGATTAGATTTTCTTTCTTTTTCTTTTCCCCCCAAAATGTACGCAATAAATTTAATTAATCTTTAGGGAAGAAATCATGCTTCATATTTATCATCTGTCTCACAGACAAAAGGCCAAGGGTTAAATAAAGTGCATTTTGTTTATAACAACACCATAAGCAATTTCTCAATATATTCTTAATCTTATTTTAATCCTATCTTAATATTACCGTAATCTTACATATTTAAAGATAAATTCAAATATAATATGGCCCTTTTCATTTCTTTTTTTGATAAAATAAAATATAGTAATATAAAACAAAACCATCATATCAAGGCTGGACCAGACACCAATGAAAAAAAAAAAGCGAAACAAGCAGGCACAAGAATCAGAGATTCACTCATTTACACACTTAGCAGTCCCATAAAATTACCAAACTAAAAGCTATAATATATACTCAGAGGACCTGGGCAGATTCATGCAGGCCCTATATTTGCTGCTTCAGGCTCTGTGTGTTGTAAGGAGGCTGCTTGTTCGTCCTATCCACCCAGAACTGAAATAACCATACAGAAACTGTACTAATTAAATCACTGCTTGGCCCATTAGCTCTAGATTCTTATTGGATAACTCTTACATATTAATTTAAACCATTTCTATTAATCTGTGTATTGCCATGTGGCTGTGGCTTATGGTTAAAG